GTCCAGTGCTCTATCCATTGAGCTAACCGGGAGGCGGTTATTCCGCAAGAAGAAGACGGACGTTTTATCTTCGAGACAAATCAGGAAAAGAAGTGAAAAGTCATTGGTACAATTCTAAATACTTCAGTTCGAGGTGAACTCTACATACTCAGTGATCACGGTTGTCTTTAACCCTTCTTTTAAGGAAAATTAGTTGTTCTCTCAAACAATAACATAATTCAATGGAGATGTACATTTTGAGTAGTATCCCTTTAATTCAACTTTTCTTACCGTACTTCCTCGACCTTTATCCGATTCTGACCCGAAGTTACGTATTGGTTGTTTCGAGGCATCTTCGTAGTTCGACATTCGCAGTAGAGATCATTGGGCGCATTACACACTAAAGAAAGAATAATACCTTTTGAAACGAATTAATTTGTGCGAGACAAAATTCAAAATATGTTTATTTTTTGGTTCATATCGTGATCAACCACAGAAGCGACAAAAATCTTACAAACATTTCACGATGGCCTCTCGCCGCCGTGTGATTTAAAACAAAACTTTTCCTTGCTGAAATATCTTAACAGGTGTGTGATCGGCATATTATGAAAAATTACAGTAAAAAAACTTTTCTTCACAAAGAGAGCATTTTGCCATTTGATTAATTAGGAAACCTTTTTGGCTAAAAATGTCTGTCATAAGGCAAGATTTATTGTTCTCCCTGCAATGTTTATTGTCTCTTCTAGACCGCAATATTTTCCGTGATCATCAATGTATTTTTTGGGATATCAGGGATGTATTTTTTTTTAATATTAGGGATGTATTTCGTCGTAGTTAAGAAGTTTAAATTAAGATTTCCTGTTTGCTAAATTAACGTCAAATGTGGTTGGAGTAGAAAAGTTGCATGCAAGTCGTGGGAAAGCTAGTGTTGACACTTACAACTTTTTCACATGATATGCCATTACGGGATAAACAAACACTGCTTTGGATTATCAGAATTTCCTTTCTCAACATGTATACCTATGAGTGTCTGTGTGTGTGTGTGAGAGTGAATGTGTGTGTGTGTGTGTGTGTGTGTGTGTGTGTGTGTGTTTAATATGTGTATGTGTGTATGTGTATGTGTGTGATGTTGATGTTATTTATACGACTTTCCTTAAATATCACCGGTAAGAACCGATCAAAAAGCGTGTAGAGACAAAAATACCTAGCAAAATGAAAAAATAGATAAATAGATAAATAAATACAGATTACGGTCAGAGATTGTTGGTGAAATGAATCAGTGATTAACTGATACAATATAATCTCATTCGACATATGATAAACAAAATTACTTTTAATTAATTGTCAAGAAAGCATGAACAAACATAAGACATTTTTCCCTTCTATTTTGAAAAAATAAAAGCAGGGAATTCGTCAAACCAAAGGGCATTTGTTTGCAAATATACGCAAACGGCGCGGTGGGTTCCTTATCTACGTGATCGTGTAAGCCATACCAAGCTGTCGCTTGTTGACATCAATAAGTCCTGTATTGGTTGAATTGCTGACATATCAAATAAATTATCAGTTACAATATATTTTAAGCATCCACTTAATACGTCTTTCTTCCAAAAATAAATTTCAATTTAGGATTCTGGGTCCTTTTAAATGTGGTGTTCCCCAAAAAAAAGTTTTCAGGAGTAAATCTGAACGACAACTCTGCGATAATAATCCAATGCGTTATTTCAGATTTCAAAGTGAATTAAAACAAGAATTTAGTTCTTCGGAGATCTTTTCAATATTGCGCTTCACCTAAGCACCAGATATCAGAAATAAAGTTGAAATCATCAGCAAATTTCTGTTTACGTAATTATTTACGTTTTAATTTTATTTTCAGCTAACTTACGTAGAAAGAAAGCCATCCCAGAGGAAAAATATTATTTCAAAACAACAATTTGTTCAGCGCAATCTTTAAATTTTTTAAAAGTCTTTTCACTTTAAAAGGCTGGGACTGAAATTGGCCAAAACTTTCAGAATATGTTACAGCTAGAGCTGAAGTAGTGTCAATGAAGAATAAAATACAATTAAATGTCTAAAAAATGTTTTATGGAAAAATAGGTAAATTCGGTAATGTTTTGGGAAGAAAACAAATTGAAACCGCTTACGAGACAGTAGACCTATCAATTTAGATATTATTATTATTATTATTATTATTATTATTATTATTATTATATCGGCAATATGCATTCAACACAGCGAAAGCATTTATGGTCTGCTTTTTTTTCCCCAGAATATCAGACATAATCACGGATGAAAATGTTCACTTTTATGAAAACGAGCGAGTTTATAAGTAGCTGTATGGTAAATCGGTGTTGTTTTCGACCACTTTTACGAGCGAGTTTATACGTAGCTTTATGGTTAATGGGTGTTGTTCTCGACCATTTTTTCTTCAATACTAACTTTAAAAATATCAGCTATCAGAAAATACATAGTAGTTCTGGGTTGGGAAAAGTTCAGCACTTGAAAGGTAAGAAGGCGATCTACGCAAACTTCGTTAATTTGAGCTTAACCAAATTATCTCACACATTCCACAGATTTGGACATTGCATTATGAGAATAGCAAGTCTGTCTTTGTAACTGTGATTATTTCACGAAAACTTGAGATTACGATGTAGAAATAGCAACGTGTCTCTAAAACGTTATTATATTTTTAGAATATGGTGGTTTACCGGAGTGGTATTCCAGTATTTAGACTGGGAGGTTTCAATCAAGTAAAAAACGTACCCACGCTTTTGCCAAAAAATTACGTCAAAGAAATCGTGTCTTCAAAAATATTTAGGCGACAGAACAATATTCTTTCAACAGCTTCATTCAGTTTGATATCAGACCTGAAACACCTTAAAAACAATTCTGACCAACTTTTTCGTCATGATATAGGTGGTAGAAACAATCCATAAATGGTATAAAAGGATCAGTTTTTCTCACTGTCTGACAGAAGTTATCAGACGAGTACAGACCAAGGAAGTAATTGCATCAAGCGGGCTAAGACTCAACAAGAACTCCACTCCGCTTGTAAAGTACAAGATGGTAAGTGATTGATATTTCCTGAAACCTTCTATGTTCGATTCCTGGATTTCAGTCCATGAGTCCATGTCCTGTTCCTATCTGGAACTCCGATTCTCGTTCCCATTTCTCCAAAGCCCCAAATCCTGAACTTAATGTCATTTTTCTGAATAGTGCCTACCCTGAGATTTTTTTTTTTT